AGATGTGGGAACACTAGAAGGAAGGAATAGGCTGCAATCAGACCTAGACAGGGTCCAGAGCTAGGTGGGGGGGAGGTACAGTTCCATGGTTACTCCCCACTCAGCCAACCTGCCTGCCGAGCAGGGGGTATGGCCAGCTGATCAAGCTGGCTCCCAGCTCAGGCAGGGGAGTAAAGTCCCCTGATCACCCAGCCACACCCCCTGCTTGGCTAGCAGGCCAGCTGAGGAGGGAGTGGGGGGCAGGGGGAAACAGCCCTCATCGAGGGCTCACCCACCCCTGCACCTGACACAGCCCAGTTGGGGGTCCAGAGCTGGGTGAGGGACTATTCTCCCCTACTCCCTCTTCAGCCAGCCATCTGGCCAAGGAGGGGGCATGGCCAGGTGATTGGCTCAGCTCCTGGCTCCGGATATGGAGGCAAGGAGGACAACCACCTAACTGGGGTTCCCCCCTTCCCCAACACATCTGTTCACCAGAGCACCCCAAGGAACGACAAGGTCGAATGGTCACAAACTCTTCCATGACCATTTCAGGCTGGACATAAGAGAGAACTTCTTTACTGTCCAAGCCCCCAAGGTTTGGAATAGACTGTCACCAGAGGTGGTTCAAGCACCTACTCTGAACTCCTTCAAAAGACATCAGGATGTTTATCTTGCTGGGATCCTATGACCCCTGCTGACTTCCTGCCCGTGGGGCAGGGGGCTGGACTCAATCTTCCAAGGTCCCTTCCAGGCCTAATGTCTATGAAATCTATGAAACACCGGGGAGACCCCAGCTGGGGGTCCAGTGCCAGGCACAGGGGTGGGTTTCCCCCCACACCCTGTCCTCCGCCAGCCCAGACTGAGGAGGGGGCATGTCTCTCTCCCCATGCATGCTGTGGGCTTCCCCCTTCTCCCCCATTGATGGGGGAGACTCTGGCTGGGGTCCAGGGGGAGGGGTGGGTTTCCTCCCAGGCCTGCTCTTCAGCCTGCCCCAACTCAGGAGGGGGCATGGCTAAGGGGATCAGCTCTGGGGACAGGGAGAGAGGGAGAAACCCCACTGGAGGCTTCCCTCCTCCCCTCCCCCAGCGCTAGGGAGAACCCTGCTGGGGGTCTGGCGGGGAGGGGGTCCCCCCACGCCCTCTCCACAACTGACTGGAGGCTAAAGAGGGGGCATGCCTGGGGAAATCACCCATCTCCCCACTGGCCAGCAGGCTGGGAGGTAAGTTCTAGCACCCCTGGCTCCCTTTTCCTTTTGAAAAGTGAACATGAGTTCACTTGCTTGTTGGTTCAATCTAAGCAATGTACAGAAACCTGTAAAGACTGAATCAATCTTGCCTCAGGCTTTTTGACTGTCTGTCCCTAGCCCATATTTCACACTTAAATACTGCGTCATCACAGCTCTCACACAACAGTTGAAGTATGATACAGGCTCTTAGTACAGTTTTGCTTTCACATGGCTTATCCAGTAAGATGATTTGCTTACACAGATTGTTTTGTTTTCTATAGTTTCAGATACAGAAGCAAACTGAATATTTCACAATGAAAGGGGCATGACTCTACGTGCATATGATGGAACTGACTGGACCACTGCATTTTTATCAGCTTGGTAAGTTATCTATAAGTTTACACAGTAGCAAGTAATGGTACTGCAGATTAGTGGGTGAGTAACAGATTTCCTTCTGAATAATTCCTGAATTCACCAAGCTGTTGGAGGACTGACTTCAAATAAGATGCACAATCACATGCCCCAGTTGTTAGTGATCATAACAAATCCATGGTGTGGTTTTTAAAGAGAGGGGGATGTTCTGGTACAGGTTAGGGCACTCTGCCTCCTTGGATTCCCCTGTTGTGTCATTTGGATATTTTATTTCTCATTTCCTGTCCTAAAGTTTTGCACAATATTACCATATGCTCTTAAACTGTTGATACAGTTTAAGAGCATACAGTAATATTAACCCGAGTCATTGAGGTTAATCCCTTATCTGGTATAACTCAGTACTCGGGCTGAACTGCCATTTTAGCAGAGAACCACTTTGGTAGAGCCATTTAATTCTGTAGGAATAAAGCAAGAACATAAGAAGATAAATAGATCCTTCAATGATTCCCTGCTTAGACTGCTCACTCTTTACCTTCCTGATGCCCTGCATTCTCATCTTCCCACCTCACCCCAATCTAAACCATTGTTTGTCTCTCTTCTTTTCCTGTCTCAGCTCTTGCCTACTTAGATTTTGCAACAGTCTCTCTGTATTGGAGGGTATGATTTGTCACAAAGTTGTTGCCTTCTTTCACTGGAGTAGGTCCAGTTCCCCAGTGAAAGAGATGGTGCACCCCAGTTGGACCTGATTCAGAGGGTCTGAAGCAGGTAGACAGAGATAAGAAGCAGAAAGACATAGATATCTTCAGCAGTTCCCTGGATGAGGCCCGTGGCTGGGATTTGGTGAGAAAACCCTTGGAAGAGCTACAGGAGTTTCCTGAGAGAGTCTTAAGTGCTGAGAGAACAGGCATTGCCTGTGGACTTGCCAAGGCTGGAGAAGCTGGAAGCAAGAAAGAGGAGCAGAAAGATTGGCTTGCTGACTCTTCAGGCCTGAGAAACAAAGTTGGAAGGCCAGAGGAGGCTAGGGCTGGAGAACAGTTTGTCCAGATACCCAAAGAGAACTGAGATACAAGAGCCCAGGAGGTTAGTAGAAGTGCTTGCTTACTGACTTCTCTTGTGCTGATAACCTGAAGCCAGAGAGGACAGAGGAGGGTCAGGTAAAATAGTTTATCTGCTCACCTGCCTACATCAGAGAAGAGGTACCTCCCAGCTGGAGCTTTCAGGAGCTTCCAGTTGGGAAGGGCAAGGATGGGCCCTAGTCAGAATAGCTGGGTAGAATACTTATGAGTAGAGAGCCTGGGACAGGCCTGCTGGGAAAATCAGGGAAAAACATGGCTTGAATGGGATGGGCTTGGGCAGCTGATTGACAAAGTCTTTGGGAGTGGTGGAAGATGCCAAAGCTTGGGATGTTTATATTGATGCCCTGTGTCTGGGACTTTTGAGGGCTACATACACAGGGACTGAATTGGGCAGTAAGGCACCCATGTACAGTGTGGAATCACTGAAATACAGTATAACCTCATAAATCCAGATATCAAAAATCTGGCACTTTCCCCCACCACTCTGAAGCTAACCGAGCTTCTCTTGACATAAATTCCCTCAATACTCTGTTGAGGGAAACAAAACTCTAGAGCAGGAACTGCACCATGTGGAATAACTTCTTAAACTTCTTGTACTTCAAAAAAAGACTGACTGTTCAGTATGTAAACTAAAATCTTTACAAAACAGATACGTCTCATAGCTTTACTTTTTAATTGTTTGAAGTTCAAAGTTTAATAGGATTTTTGAATGAATCTTTTAGCTGAAGAAAGGGTCCATCCCAATGTCCAGTGAAGTCACTTGATCTCTTTCCATTTATTTTGGTAGGAAATGGTTCAGTAGCAGAGCAAAGGCAATGGTAATATTAATTATATGGTGGAAGCATCTACAATGTCATAAGCACTGCACTCCTGTGCAGAAAGAGGGAGTTCCCTCCCCAAACAACTGAAAATATGAGCTTACATTAAGCATTATAAAGCCATAGCAATGCTTAGCTTTTCCACTTCACCAGTTTCTTCTCAAATAGTTAATCTAATGCAGAATTTTTTTTGTATTTCTCTTAATATTTGCTAATGCTGTTTTGTTGTGGTTGTTTTGCAGTAATAGTGCTGATGAATGAATGCAAAAGGAGAAGGAAGGATTTCTTGTGGTCAGGTTTCAGACTGGGGCTTGAGAGACATGAGTCCTGTGTATTGCAAAGCACAGATCATCTATGTGATTTTTTTTTTTTTGAGTAAATAGTAGGCCTGTGCGAATAGGGAAATATTAGTTTCAGCTTCGGCCGATTCACAGGACAGTAATTCAGTTCGGTCGAGTCGGTTCTGGAAGATTCAGCGCTGATTTGGCAATTTGGCCATAGACTATAATGGAGAATCACTGAAATCCCTAAAACTTTGTCATTTTTTGGCAGATTTGGATGAAAACACCAGAGATGGTAGCCCCTTCTGAGGGCATGAGGCCTGCCAAGTTTCAAGGAGATAAGCACAGGGGTTTCTGTGAAACTGCACCTCAAACTGATGAAAGCAAAACTCATGACACTTGTATGTGTTAAGGGGTGTAGGTTGTAGCCATGTTGGTCTAAGGACATAGTCCAGACAAGGTTCTTAGTGTCAATCTAATATCTTTTATTAGACCAATGGAATAGTTGGAGAAATTCTTCTTTGCAAGCTTTCGGGTTTAAAAACACTTTGTCAAGCTGAGGAAGCATCTAGTTAGTGTGTGTGCGCTCTTTCTGGATAGAAGGAATAGTAAAGAAGCCAGAGGCTGGCATGCGATGCAGGCAAGAAAGCCAGCCAGTGAAAATGGAAATGGAGGAGTCAGGGGGTGAGAGAGACATGCTGGGGTAGAGGGGAAGGGGGATGTAGCAGGTAAAAGTGGAGAAGTACCTGGGGAGTCAGATGTCAGGCAGGTTGTAGTGTGTCATAAATCCAGTGTCTATATTGAGTCCATGAGTTTCTGTATCTAAGAGGCTGATGAAGCGAAGTTCATAGGCCTGTCTGTGACAAGTGGTTTGTAAATTCAAACAAGCACTGAACCTCACTAACCTCATCACCAGAAGACAACTTCCTACAGCCCAAAACACACCAAATGAATCCAGACTATGCCATGACAGTGCAAAACCTGCCAACATATATCCAGTACCCCACAAACTGCAACCAGAATCTATCAAAGACAAGAATGCCCAACTACCTGTGGGGGCACATTTCTCACAAAAATATCACTCTGTCTCCAGTCTCTCAGTCCTGATCCTCAAAGGGAATTTACAAACCACTTTTCACAGATGGGCCTATGAACTTCACTTCTTCAACCTCCTAGGTACAGAAACTCATGGACTCAATATTGACATTGAATTTATGACATACTACAACCTGCCTGACATCTGACTCCCCAGGTACCTCTCCATTTTTACCTGCTACATCCCCCTTGCCCCCTACCCCAGCCTGTCTCTCACCCCCTGATGTCTCCATTTCCATTTTCACTCACTGGCTTTCTTGCCTGCATTGCATGCCAGCCTCTGGCTTTACTATTCCTTCCATCCAGGAACAGCACACACACCAATTAGATGCTTCCTCCACCTGATGAAGGGTTTTAAACCTGAAATGCCATGCCTTGCAAATGGCATGTCAGGCAGCTAAGCTGAACTCACCTGAAGCCTCACAACTCCACTGCAACCAGCAAGCCTCAGGCCTCTCAAAGATCTTAGGGATCTGGGCTATCTCTAGCCAGGACTGTGCATGCATGTGATGGCTGGAGATTCTGGCACTTCCTACCTGCCTTTCACTAGGGATATCCTTGGTCCTGGCATTTCCTGGGGCTGCTGCGCTGCCGGCAGTCCTACCAGGCCTCCCGACCCTGCCAGGCTGCAGTTTTAGTGGTCATGCCCAGGACCTGGGGCTTCCTCCTTCCCCATAGCCCCAGCCCATACCTCCAAGTTTGTCCTGGTATGGGAGCTCA